TGATTATCAAAAGGCTGGTGCCAAGGCATTTATGAGAAATTTGCCCCCATGACTAAAAAACCTCCCTACCTAGTTCCACATCCAACATGGAGGATTACATTGCAGCATGAGGTTTGCAGAACATGGACATCCAAACCATACCACAGACAAACTAGGCTTAACACACATGTACAAAACTTTTCAGTTAAAAGCAAAATAATAAACAATATTCTTATTTATACCTGATGTATTGTGTTAGAACACACAACAAGTCTTATTAAAGAATACCAGCTGGGTGTAGTGGCTGATATGTATAATTTCAACAATTTGGAAGACGGAAGTGAGAGGATCCCTTGGGACCACAAGTATAAGACAAGTGTCAGTAACATAGTGAGACCCCGTCCCTACAAATAATCAAAAAATTGGCCAGGCATGGTAGTGCATGCCCATAGTCTCAGCTACTCAGGAGGCTGAGGTGTAAAGATCACTTGAGTCAAGGAGGCTGAGGTTACAGTGAGCCAAAATTATGACACTATACTCCAGCCTGGGTGACAGAGTATGATCTTGTCTGAAAACGACAACAAACAAATAAATTTATGAAGACTAAAATCATGCACTGCATGGTAACTGACCAGAACGGAATAAAACTAGGAATTAAAAGCAAAAGTAAAATTGGCAAATCCAACAATATCTAAATATAAAACAGATGAGCTGAGTGCAATGGCTCACACCTGTAATACTACCATTTTGGGAGGCTGAGGCAAGAGAACTGCTTGAGCCCATGAGTTAGAAACTATCCTAGGCAACATAGGAAGACTCTGTCTCTAATAAATAAAATAAAATTAAAATAAAATACATTCTTCAACATATTCCTGCTAAGGGTCAAACATTTTAATTTTGTTGAGATACCAATATAACCTACAGAGGTGAACAAATTCAGTACAATCTCTATAAAAATCTCAATAGCACAGTTATTACAGAAATATTCTTTAAAATATTTGTGAACTATAACTAACCAAACACCCATGAAAACAACAGAGGCATTATACTTCCTGATTTTAAAACATTAAAAGCTACACTAACAATAACAGTATGGTACTAATACAAAGACAGATAAACAGATGAAAGAGCAGAATAGAGTTCAGAAATGAACCCTTGAGTATATGATTAGATGAACTTCCACAAAGCTGCCATGAACATACAATAGAGAAAAGATAATTTTTTCAAAAAATAATGTTAAGAACTAAATATCAACATTGATAAAGTTGGATCATTTCCTTGAACCGTATATAAAAAAAGTTTTCAATAAAATACTTACATAAAAGAAAACAAATCTCTTAGAACAAAATAGAAAAAAGTCATGACATGGGTCTTGGCATCATTTTTTTAGCTACAACATTAAATGCATGAACAATAACAAAAAAACAGAAAAATTTAACTACACTCTACTTCAAAATTTCTCCACATTAGAAAAAAAAACATTCAATTGTGTGAAAATGCCTCATAAGAAATGGGTGAAAATATTTGCAAGTCACATGTGATAAGAGTTAATATTCAGGCCAGGCGCAGTGGTTCACACCTGTAATCCCAGCACTTTGGAGGCCGAGGTGGGTGGATCACCTGAGGTTACAAGTTCAAGACCAGCCTGACCAAATTACAAATTAATAATTTGTAGAGAAACGCATAAAAATAAAAATGAAAAACGAAATCACCTCACATCCATTACAATGGCCACTATAAATTATTTAAAGACGCCCAATCTGTTGATGATGCAATGAAAATGAAACCTCTGTTGATGCTGGTAGAAAACAAAGATGTAGACATCATTTAAAAATGTTATGTTTCTCAAATAATTAAAAATGGAATTATTATCAAATACAGCAACTCCATTAATGAATCTATATTCAAAATATGCAACAAAAGACCTAGAAGACATATTTGAACATCTATGATTATTGTACCAGTACTCACAAAAGTCAAAAGGCTGAGGCAACCTGGGTGTCTCTTGATTTATGAACACATCAAAAATGTAACATATACATAAAATGGAATATTATTCAGACTTAAAGAAGAAAATCTTGTCACATTTTAAGATAAATTTTGAGAATATTACGTCACCTGAAATAAGCCAGAAACAAAATGATGGACACTGTATTATTCCACTTACATGAGATATCTTAAATAGTCACACTCATAAAAACAGAAAGTGGAAGGGTGCTTGTCAAGGGCTAGGTAGAGGGCAAAATGGGTTGTTGTTACTTATTGGGTATTTTTAGTTTCATAAGATGTAAAATTTCTATAAGTCTTTGGCATACCAATGTGAATCTACTTAACATGGTTAAAATGTAATTATTATTATTATTTTTGAGATGATATTTCACTCTTGTTGCCCAGGCTGAAGGGCAATGGGGCAATCTTGGCTACTGCAACCTCTGGCTCCCGGGTTCAAGCAATTCTCCTGCCTCAGCCTCTCGAGTAGCTGGGATTACAGGCACCTGTCACAAGGCCCCGCTAATTTTTGTATTTTTAGTAGAGATGGGGTTTCACTATGCTGGTCAGGCTGGTCTTGAACTCCTGACCTCCGGTAGTCTGCCGGCCTCAGCCTCCCAAAGTGCTGGGATTACAGGCATGAGCCACCACGCCTGGCCTGTAAAACTTTCTTTTGTTTATGAGACAGTCTCACTCTGTCACCCAAGCTGGAGTGCAGTGGCACAACTACCTTCAGCCTCAAACTTCCAGGCTCAAGTAATTCTCTTCTCTCAATTTCCCAAGCAGCTGAAACCACAGGTGCACACCACCATGCCTGGCAATTTTTAAAATAATTTTGTGGAGAAGGAATCTCCCCGTGTTGCTCTGGCTGGTCACAAACTTTTGGGCTCAAGTGATCCTCCTTTCTTGACCTCCCGAAATCCTGGGATTACAGTTGTGAGCCACCACCAGGTCTGGCCCTGAAACGTACACTTAAAGAAATTTTTGGTAGGCTGGGCGCAGTGGTTCATGCCTGTAATCCCAGCACTTTGAAAGGCTGAGGCGGAGGGATCACTTGAGGCCAGGAATTCAAGACTAGCCTGGCGAACATGGTGAAACCCTGTCTCTACTAACAATCGAAAAAATTACCCAGGCGTAGTGGCGGGCACCTATAATCCCAGCTACCCAGGAGGCTGAGGCAGGAGAACTGCTTGAACCCAGAAGTTGGAGGATGCAGTGAGCCGAGATCACGCTATTGCACTCCAGCCTGGGCGACAGAGCGAGACTCTGTCTCAAAAAAAAAAAAAAAAAAAAAAAAAAAAGATTTAAGATGGTAAATTTTATGTTACGTGTTTTTGAAACCATTAATTTTTCTTTTTCTTCTTCTTTTTTTTTTTTTTTTTTGAGACAGAGAATTGCTTGAACCCCGGAGGCGGAGGTTGCAGTCAGCCAGAGATCGCGCCACTGCACTCCTGCCTGGGCAACAGTAGCCAAACGCCGTCTCAAAAAAAAAAACACACACAAAAACAAACAAACAAAAAGGTGAAGAGGTGTCTGCTCTATCAAATTCACAGACACCAATGCAAAACTGTATTGTGCTGTCAATGCTTCTATTTTAACGTAGGACTGGAAGTAAGTGGCAGAATGATGAGTCAAAAACATTTTTAAAAAGCCACTGAAAATGAAGATAAGTAAAAGTTACTAGTTGTGCATCATATGATCTTATACATATAAAAAATAAACACTACACTGAAATTTGTCTAAAGCAATAAATACACTCGGTAAATTAGCAAAATATAAAATTAACCTACAAGTATAAATTATTGTTCCATAAATTTAAACCATCTGATACAATTAAGAAAACAATCTTATTTACAATAGCATTAAAATAACAAATTTCTGAGAGCAAATTTAACCAAGAAGGTAAAAAAAATCTTTACATTAAAAGATATAAGATAGACCGGCACAGTGGCTCACGCCTGTAATCCCAACACTTTGGGAGGCCGAGGCAGGCAGATCACGAGGTCAAGAGATCCATACAATCTGACCAACATGGTGAAACCCTGTCTCTACCAAAAATACAAAAAATTAGCTGGGTGTGGTGGCATGCGCCTGTAGTCCCAGCTATGCAGGAGTCTGAGGCAGGAAGATTGCTTGAACCCAGGAGGCGGAAGTTGCAGTGAGTCAAGATCACGCCACTGCACTCCAACCTGGCAAAAGCGAGACTCCTTCTCAAAAAACAAAACAAAACAAAAAAGATGTAAGATACCAATGAAATAAATTATTGAAGACACAAATTTTAAAATACTTCATGTCCATGGATTGAAAGAATAAATATTGTTAAAGTGTCATATTATCTAGTCTATAGCTTCAATAAACTTCCTATTAAAATTCCAGTGACATTTTTTTCACAGTAATAAAAAATACAATTCTAAAATTTACAAGAAACTGCAATAAGCTTCGAAAAGCCAAAGCAATCTTGAGGCAAAAGAACAAAGCAGAGGGGTATTATACTTTATAATTTCTAACTGTATTTCAAGAATATAGTAGTAAAAACAGGACGGAATGTGCAGAAAGATTAACAAACAAATCAATGGAACAGAAATCACTACTTTCACACATTTCAGACAGGATGAAAAAAGAGAACTAAAAAATAGTTTAACATAGAGTTTCCCAAAATCATGCAGATATCTGTGTGTACCCCAAAATAATGGAAAAGCAGGCAGATTGTACAGTCTTTTATACACCATTAAAAGGACTCTGGCTTTCACTGTAAACTTGAAGGAAGATCACCAAAAGGAAAGTAGAATATTTAAAGAATTTAAAAAGCATAAGACAGAAGATGCCCCTACATGACAGCAAAAAAAATAAAAATAAAAATAAAAAATAAAGTAAATAAAAAATTTAAAAAACCCAAAAAACAAAAACACTCAGGCATCCCAGAAACTATTTCCTTTGGAACACAGCTTCCCAAATCACATTTTAATGATCGGTTTTCTCTTTGACTTTTGGACCTCTCATCTGTGTCATCTGTTGTGTTCACTCTCACCTACCTGAGGGTTTGGCTACCATCTCATGTCTCTTTATATTCCAGGGCTCCTTTCGTTGCTCCAGACAGGTGATCAGGTCTGGCTTAGTGACAGCAATACCTGCTTTATTAGAAATAAATAACATGAATCTTTCTCATATTCTCCAATTAGCATCCTAGTCGTATGCTTAGTAAGGAGGAGGTGATAGAATATTCTAGAATAATCCCAAAATACTAATTAATGAGAGAAATTTCTAAATATTTAGAAAATATTTAAAACTTGTAGGTCCTTAATTTCACTATCCAGTACTCATGAATCAAAAAATTGGTGGTGACGAATAGATTTTAAAATATGGGCAAATATACATACACATTTATTTATTTTTGAGATGGAGTCTCGCTCTGTTGCCCAGGCTGGAGTGCAGTGGCATGATCTTGGCTCACTACAACCCCTGTTCTCCTGGGTTCAAGCGACTCTCCTGCCTCAGCTTCCTGAGTAGTTGGGACTACAGGCACGTGCCACCATGCCCGGCTAATTTTTGTATTTTCACTTTGTTGGCCAGGCTGGTCTCAAACTCCTTGACCTCGTGACCCACCTGCCTCAGCCTCCCAAAGTGCTGAGATTACAGGAGTGAGCCACCATGTCCGGCCTAAAATCATGGGCAACAATATTTTATGCCACTAAATTTCTGGAATTACCACTGATCTAGAGTGAAGGATACAGATCAGCTTTGGAACGTGGGAAGTTCAGGTCAAGATGAAACATCTTGAAGACATTCTTTTCCACACAGACAAAGTCTCAAGATTTTCTTGAAAAAACGGATCAGAAACTCATTTATGCAAAGCATAAATTACCAAAAATCATTCCACAAAAAAAGAGAAAGGAAATCTTTAGGGTATATTAGAAATTGTGTATTAAAGGTATTCTTACCCAAGAAGACCAGGTTTCTGTAGTTCTCTAACATCACTTTCCTATACAAACCCTGCTGAGCAGTGTCCAGGCATTGCCACTCCTCCAGAGAGAATTCTATGGCCACATCCCTAAATGTCAATGGCCCCTGAAAAACATAAGCACACAGACACACATATATTTACCAAGTGGCCATGAGCAGAAGTTATCATTTTAATTATAATGAAACAACAGAGTAAAGAGAATTGGTTCTGATTAATAGAAATAACTGAAAATTTGCAGTAATTTTTAACCCAGAAATATTCTCTAAAATATCCTCTAACTCTGAGAGAAGAGAATGGCATAAGATCCACAACACCAGTGTATATATGATACTTTTTAGATAATAAAGTATAAAATTAAGAGCATAAACACAAACATATACATTTTTTAGTGCAATATTTACATCATAAAGAATGAGCTGTGTATATTTTTCAGACAAAAAAGAGATGTTGAGTTAGAAGGCACCTCTTGAATTTTAATGTGTACAATAAACTGGAAATCTTGTGCAGACTTTTTTTCAGAAGATCTGGAATGAAGTCTGAGTTTCTGAATTTCTAATGAGCTCACTAGTAATGCCAATGTTTTTAGTCCCAAAAGAAAATTCTGTGAAACATCCAGTAGCTGGAAGAGCCTGTGTTTTGCCTCATTTTTCTGGCCTGTAAACAAAGAGACTTCATTTTCCAAAGACAACTATATGCAAAGAAAACCTAAGAAAAAAGGGCACCTGCCACATTAAATGTGATGGCTTATGCACATTGTCTGCATAAAGATACCTAATAATGACAAGAAAAATAGTTAACTCTGTAGTGAAAGAAATATCAGAGCGCTTTTTAACCAAGTAAATTATTAATATTAACCACATTAGGACAAACTTTTATGGTGTGCTGATGCACATAGAAGAACACAGCATCATCGCCTAGATATGGCCCCTCAAAAAGTAAATTATAGTCTGAATTCAATCATACAGAAATATCAGTTTTTTTTTTTTTTTTTTTTTTTTTTTTTTTTTTGAACGATCTCGTCTTCACCAGCTGGATGCATGGCCGATCTCAGCTCCGCAAGCTCGCCTCCGGTTACGCATCTCCCTCACCTCCGAGTACTACACGTGCACCTCCCGGCTAATTTTTTTTTTTAGTAAGTTCTTAGCCAATGTCTGATTCTATTATCCTCCCTAATGTTTAAGTGACCCCCCCATTTTTTTTTTTTTTTTTTTTTTTTTTTTTTTATTTATTTATTTATTATTTTTTTTGAGACAGAGTCTCACTCTGTCCCCTAAGCTGGAGTGCAGTGGCACGATCTCGGCTCACTGCAAGCTCCGCCTCCCAGGTTCACACCATTCTCCTGTCTCAGCCTCCCGAGTAGCTGGGACTACAGGCACCCGCCACAACACCCGGCTGATTTTTTGTATTTTTAGTAGAGATGGGGTTTTGCTGCGTTAGCCAGGATGGTCTCGATCTCCTGACCTTGTGATCCGCCCCGCCCGCCTCGGCCTCCCAAAGTGCTGGGATTACAGGCATGAGCCACCGCGCCCGGCTCCAATAATGATTTTAAGTAGTTTTTCTTTAGCACCCTACAGAGCAGGTATCTCTCAGTTTTTTTCCTGAACTTTCTGGGTAATAAATGCCACATATTTAAATAAGTATTTTCTTAATCCTATTCTGCATAGAGCTAATGGAGAACACAGATGGAACCTCAACATTACATATCCTCCATGTAAACCCCAGCTTTTCCCAATAGGAATCTTGAGTATCCACATCCTTCCATGTTCAACAGCCATAATGGGAACATTTTTAATAGTGCAGATCATAAATTCATGGCAGGAATTCTGCATGGCATATAAGAAGCTATGATATTGAGAATGTAGAGAAGGCTCTAGTACATAGGAAAGAAATATTCTGCATAGACCTTTGACTACCATTAGAATTTTAAAAAGTAGTTAAACTCATTAGTAAGGAAAAACACAAGTAGAGAAGTAAAGGTTTGCAAATACTAAATGCGTGAGACTCCAGAAGAATGGACAAATCTCTTGATCTGAGACATGCTTAGCTGGAAAAAAAAAAAAAATTCTTCTTTCTCCTCCTTCTCTTGGAATCCTTTTCAGATGAAATTCTCTAAACAAGTTAACACTTGCATCTTGAGAAAACTGCCTTAAACACGTCAGCACCATCTTCTTACCTGCTAGCATCAGACCCACAGACAGAAGGACCAAGACCAAAAAGTTCACCCATTTCTCTCCTTTATAACAGAAGAGATTCAAGAACAACGTGCTGCTCCACGGATGTAAAAATATGTTTCTCCTTTCCTGTCCTCAGGTGCCCTCCCCTGCCACAAACACCAGCAATTTCTGCTACAGTAATGAAAATATGGGCCACACTGTCCTGTCCCTACCAAACCCAAACAGAACAGGCCCTGTAACCACCCTTTAGTGCAAAGGTGGCACTTAACTCTCATGAATGTATCTTGAAGCCCTCATACTTGATTCTGGCCTCACCTTAGAGTCACATGAGGCCCTTCATTAAAACAACATGGATGCTTCCATCCACAAAAATAAACAGGAGCTGTGGGGAGGAAACAAGAGGTTTCTGCCAATTGGCTATGTGATACTAATGAGAAGCCTGGGCTGATAACCACTAAGCTAAGCATTGCCTCTCAAGCTTTAATGAACTTAAAAATCACTTGGTAATGTTGGTCCCACTCTACCTAATGTGATTCTGCAGGTTTGGAAAGGGTCCATGGATGGGTGTTTCAAACAAGTCCCCTGTCAATGCTGATGTTGCTCCCCCTGGGCTCATCATTAGCATTAGTTAGAGAAGCAGGCACAGCACAGAGTCCCTTACACTCAGCACTCTTGTCACAACACAAATACTTCTGGTACAAATGAAGACAACTACACTTCATCTTGAAGTTTTATATTATTTGCTGGCTCTTTAAAGTTTACAGAGGAAACAGAAGGCAGCAATGTTGGAATAAGTCTGCATTTGGAAAACAACATGTACATATGTAGTAATGCAATAATTATTAAGCAGGTACTATGTGCTCAAGAGTATAATACAGAGCACTGTGCTGGGCATAACACATTGGAAGTTGATACTAAGTGTTCAATAAGTCTCAGGATTTAGATAAAGGGCCCAGCATTATTACTTCTTCCTCTTGTTTCTCTGTCGTTGATTTTTTAAAAAAATGTAGAGAATAAAGCTAAATGTAGACAGAGGAGTGGGGCATAGAAAGAGTTTAAGAGATTTTTTTTCTATTTATCTTTACTTGTCTGTGATTTGTGGAGCAACTACTGGAACTGCAGGAATAGAAAACACGTTGCTAAATGGAATGTTTCTGTAAGCACCAGTTTTAATACAAAATTTTAAGAAATAAGATGTTAAGCCGGGCGCGGTGGCTCAAGCCTGTAATCCCAGCACTTTGGGAGGCCGAGACGGGCGGATCACAAGGTCAGGAGATCGAGACCATCCTGGTAACACGGTGAAACCCGTCTCTAGTAAAAAATACAAAAACTAGCGGGCGAGGTGGCGGGCGCCTGTAGTCCCAGCTACTCGGGAGGCTGAGGCAGGAGAATGGCGGGAACCCGGGAGGCGGAGCTTGCAGTGAGCTGAGATCCGGCCACAGCACTCCAGCCTGGGTGACAGAGCAAGACTCCGTCTCAAAAAAAAAAAAAAAAGAAATAAGATGTTAAAATGTATAGTTTATTTTTCTTATTTATCTGCTTTTGGGTTGCAGGAAATTGTTAGCACCCGCTCTAGAAAGGCAGAAGGATTTACTGGCCAAAACTCTGACCTTTATAAAACAGTTCTGAAAGGCAAGACTCCAGAGTGGGCCAGACCTAAAGAAGGCCTTCAAAAAGGGCGAAACTGAACAGAAATGGGGCAGGGAAAGGACCCTACGTAGAATTCTGTTCTCTATGCCACTGGGGTATTTCCAGTTCTGTTTTTCCTAAGCTTACCTAAGAAAAACTTAAATCCCAGACTTTATGTAACTTTTATCTATTTTTGCCACTGCTCTGTCAATTTTATAACAATACTATCAAGCAATTTAAATGACTTTTTTAAAGTTTTCTGGAATAATTTTATTAGAAGATAAATATGTATTCTCAATAAAGTAAAAGATACACAAATAATAACACCTCTTCAGTCCATAAATATCCCTTCAGGTGATAACCTCAGAAGACACAACAATGTAAAAAGAAGTGGCCCAAGTTTTTTGTTTTTTGAGATGGAGTTTCGTTCTTGTTGCCTAGGCTGGAGTGCAATGGCACGATCTTGGCTCACTGCAACTTCTGCCTCCTGGGTTCAAGCAATTCTCCTCCTCAGTCTCCCGAGTAGCTGGAATTACAGGCATGCATCACCATGCCTAGCTAATTTTTTTAGCGGAGATGGGGTTTCTCCATGTTGTTCAGGCTGATCTCGAACTCCCGACCTCAGGTGATCCACCCGCCTCAGCCTCCTAAAGTGCTGGGATTATAGGCATGAGACACAGCGCCCGGCTGAAGAGGCCAAAGTTTTATTTTGCTCTGCACACATCCATTCACCGTACCAACCATATGTTGTTTAATTCAACCATGTATCCAGTTGCTAGTCTAGACCAAAAGTTTCCGGATGGTAGGGACCATGACTGCTTCATCTATTTTTTTAATGACCTTACAAAATGGAAGCAATTAGTTTATCTTTTGAGTCACCAGACCTCCTCTTTGTCTTTCACCAAAGTAACAGGAAACTGGAGAAACTCTCATCTGGGTACAAACCAAAGTTATCTCTTATATGAGGGGAGAAAAAAAACACAGAATGACCCATTTCTCTTACACTGAGACACAAGCAGAATCAACCACTCTTGTCAGCCTGACACAATTCTGCCCTGGACATCCTCAAATGTCTCAAAGACATCTAGGTGATTGTGAGAAGGTTCTTAGTGACCCTGGGCTGATGGCCCGATGATAAGCCAGGCTGAGAGAAATTCATGCTGATTCTAAATAGAAGATGGAACTGCCTTGGTGGAGCTCTAGAACCTGGATCACCTATCCTGATTTGCTAGGTTTTGGGTAAGAGCAACAACAATACTCTACGCCAGTATCATATTTTACAGGTAGGTATAGTTGTGGTC